GAGTTTTCGTTCAAATGAGGTAAATACTAAGAGATTTGAAAAAATATTTTAAAATATCTTGAAAAATAATTTGAAAACACAATGAGAATTTTTAGTATTTTTATTAGCTGAAACTTCAGATTATTTTGCAAACTATGGTAGCTGTAAATACATTTCCCCTATGGAAATGGCTGAAAATCATAGCAATCCAAGATATTAAGTAGAACATCTCAGTAGAAATATTGGCTTTTCTATGAGCTCACTCAATAACTTAAAGTACTCCCTTAGCCTTAGTTACGCCATATGGAAAAGAGGTAAATAATGATAACATATACCATAAACGTAATTGTACAGTTTGAGTCACTTAGCATTTTGTGTATTATAGAATTAATTTCAGTTCCCCAGAAATACTGCAATAATACTTAAAAGTAGAGCTGCTAGAGCTTGGCTTCCAATGTTGAGACAATCAGTACAAAGACTTAGGTTTTCTGTTCTGTTTTGTTTCTATCTAGTAGATGTCCAGAAATTTCTGCTGGATTTGGTAGCCCTAGCTAGTTAGCCACTGTATGTGTATGTGTGTATGTATTTATTCAATTTAGATATGACTTCAGTTAATTTTATTTAATATTCCAAAGTAAAATGCTTGCAAGGTTGATTAATGGAGCATTTGTTACATGTACTTTCACTCTTAAATATTTGATTTTTCAAATAGATCACCCAGGAAATTTCTGACAGTACAAGAATATTTAGACTCCTTGGATCTGACAGGTATGATCAATCACAATCACAACATATAAGGAAGGAGTAGTTTTGGAATAAATTATCTGTTAAGCTTGGGACTCATTACATTAGTAGCTGCCAAACTCATTCTTTTGCTGAGGAGAAGCAGGAATCACTAGACTTGCTATGTATAATTCTCTTGCTTGCCTTTTTCTTCTGGACAGCTTTAAGTATTGGACTTCCATCATTTATAGGGAAGGAATTTGGCCAGTGTCTTATTGTCCTTTAGTCATCTCACTTGGGCAAGTGACTAATCCCTGGCAGCTGCTATCTCATTGAAGGTGTGATTGGATAAAGGAGAACAAACATACTTGATTAGATCAAGAAAGAAAACCTCTCAATTGGTTTATGTTGTGTCACATGCTCCATCCTGCCCAAATCTGAAAGCAAGACCCAATTAAGGGCTTTCATAAAGGTTTGATATATTTGCCAAAATTATTGTTATTGGGACGTTCTTTTTTTCCCCAGAGTTGTGGTACTGGAAAGTAGACCAACAGATAACCCTACTGCCAATAGCAACTTGTACATCTTGGCAGGTCATGAGAACAGTTACTGAGAAGAAGCAAGATAAGGAAACACTACTGCTTCAATACATCTGACATCAATTGCACAAAAGCGAAAGGATCCCAACTACAGTTATTTTGTAATTTATTGTAGTGTATGAGTATGAGTGAGAACAAGAATGCTTGCTTGGATGATATGCATATGATTAGCATATTCTAAAGAACTCTTGATTCACTATTATGTAATGTTTGTACATATATGCAGTATTTTTTGTTGAAGTGTATTACTGGAGGCCTCTCTTGATTTTTCTGTAGATAATGAACAAAATGTTTTACTTGTACAGATATGTAAAGTTTGCTGAGGACAGAAAATTGTGTTTGGGTACTATTTTAAGGACTAATGGGATGCTATTGATAAACACAGTACATTTGAATAACACTATTGTATTTTATTATGTAATTTACTAATATAAATAAATCTTATCTTTTAGACATTGTAATCAAGGCGGTAATCCTATTACAATCTTGTTTTTAGTTCTATGCAAGTACACTGGTGTTTTTGGTTGCACAAAGTGTTAATATGTAATGTATTCAGTCACAAAAGTACATTTGTGGAAATAATTTAGGCATTATAATTTTAGCTTATTTGGGTAGTTCTCTTTGTGAAACCAGCCAATTGAACACCTATATTTTTATATTTAAGGAAAATTCTCTTAATTATTTTCTATGCTTGGAGAGAGAAAAATACCTATTTTGAAATGGGAATAAATCCAATAGTGGTACCTTGGTGTAATTATAAGTGTGTACAATGATACAAAGCTTTATTATGATGAGTCTATCATGCAAAAATTCACAGCACTCCACACTGTGGAAGTGTTTAAATATTTGGAGTTAGATCCAGATAGCCATGTGCAAAAGGCCTTAGTACTGTATACAGTACTTTGCAGATATTCATTAGCACTTGCATTACAACAACGTATACATTTTCCTTCATTAAGAAGAGATTGACTATCACTAATGAATTGCCATTGTACCCTGTTGGATCTGCAGAGCTCCTCTCTGATTCTTATAGGACAGTGATGGCAAACCTTTTTGGTGCCGAGTGCCAAAAAGGGAGCATGCACTCACGCTTATCTGGGACACAACCTGGAAGAGGAGCTGCCCAGGGGGCATGCGCGCACTGGAAAATGAATTTCCAGTTTCCAGCGCACACATGGGCAGTGGCCAGCTAGTCTTCCGGTTACCGGCACACATGCTCACACCAGAAAACGGAAGATCAGCTCTTCCAGTTTCCAGCACTGCTGCACACACGAAGACCAACTGATAGACGCATGCACATGCGCGCCAGAAACCTGGAAGAGAAACGGGCAATGCCATGCATGCCAGGCAACATGGTTCCATGTGCCATTTCAAGCACAGGTGCCATAGGTTCACCACCACGGTTATAGGATGATAGGGCCATAGGGCTCCTGCTGGATTCCATGTGTAGACAGAAGCTTTTCTTTTAGTAAGGAATATGAATCAATGGTTTTAAAATTAGATTCAAGGATCTTTCCTCTTCCTCAGACATAGCAACAAAGTTTTCAAACAAAAAAATCAGTAACAGAGGAAAGCATTTTGTTTAAAACAGGAAATGCTTATTGCAACTGGTTTTCCCAACCTCACAACAAATGTAGCTCCACCTCTCAGTTCAGGAAGAAGGAAAGCCAGCAATTCATATGCACCCTAACAACAGGAATGGTGAAATTATGACCTTCCTTGTGATGCTGAGCTACAACTTTTAAAGGCCAGTTGTGAGGGAAACTGGAGTATATTAATAATTAGTAGAAGATAACAGCTTCCTGGCACTAATACATAACATGCAACATGCACATATGTTTTTCTGAAGAGAAGGATGCTTCCAACCCACTGCCATCAAGGACGCCATATATTGACTACCTGTTCTGGAGAAAAAGTGATACTAGGTGGGGCAACCGTTTTAAGGAATTTTGCTTTTGTTTTAAAAAATGTTTTGCCTTACTACTGTTGTCACATTTTTTTCTCTTAATGTCTTAACACCTAGCCAGAATTATTTAGTTACTACCTCACAAAATTAAATGGTTATAACACATCACAGGAATTTTAGTTTTGAGCAAAACTATTCTGATTCTTTTCAGTGCGATATGTAGATGCCATGTTTTAGTGAAAATACATACTTTTTTGTATATGTTCTTTATACTGTGATATAAAGTAAGAACAAAGTACATTAAAACTGATTTATGGTCTGTATTATTGTTGGTAATGAATATTTCCTTATGTATATAATGTAAAATAAAGTTTTTAACATGTTTGTTGTTCATGTGGATTAGCATCTGCAGTAATTTTCCAATGAAATTAAGCACTTGCTAATTGAGGAAGAATATTTTTACCGAAATTAGCTTTGGTTGTAAAAAAAATAAATTTTAGACAGCCTAATAACTAAATTAACTTCCTTTAAATTATACTGCATAATACAAAGTAACTGTTGTGGCATAAGTACATCTTACAGTGTTTTTAGCATCTAAAGAAGTCCACTTATAGAATCCTTTGGCTTTTGATTTCCCCTCCTATGACTTGCCCTGGCTAATTGTATTCTGCTCCATTGCAGCGATGGTGGTGGCAGTAGGCCCAAGGCTTAAACTGTTTGTACTCATTCATAGGATCAAAGGATTGTGGGGATGGAAGTGATCATAAAAATCAACTAGTCCACAGGTGTCAAACTTGATCGTGTTGCAGGACAGAGCGTGAATTCTCAATTTTTTTGCCTTTGAGAGCCAGGGTGGGTGTGGCCTGTGCGGGCTGTATCTGGCCTGCGGGCCATCAATTTGACAGGCCTGATTCTAGTCCAACCTTTCATGCTTGTTCGCTTTCCAGCCACAGAGCACATTCTTCTATATTTGAGCTGAAACCTTCCTCTTTTCTTTTTAAATGATGGTTCATATTTATGACCATTGCTTGTCCCAAGGTCATGTGATCCAATTTTCCTGTAATTTGCTTACAAATTGTCATAATTTAGAAATAAGCAGTAAACTGACTTAAGTCTGCAGCTACTCCAACTAGAGTGTTAGAAAGTGAATATGATGCAGAATTCCCAAATGATCTCTCTAAACTGGGTGAACAATATAGAATTTTCCTAATCGGAGGTCTTTTGGAGCACTGCAAAAAGGTTGTTCCAGTCTCATTTTTTTCTCCTCAAAATACTAGGAAGGGGGAAACATTCAATTACACTAATTGGAACAGCACATAATCCATGGAATAGCCACAAGATATTGTGAAGAATATCTTACCTCTGAATAATTACCTTGGAATAAGAAATGTATGGAAGAAAAATCGGTAAAATGAGGAGCCAGATTGTGGAGGCAATGTGCTGACTGTAAATTGCTTAAGAGAGGACTGTGAAGTGATATATAAATCTAAGTCCTATTGTTATTGCTATGAGGGTGAGGGGTTAGCCTTAAAGACTCAATGTTATCTCCAAAGATTGTTTGCATGGGAACAAAGACAGGAAAAAGATTTGTCTTTGTCTCCCATTTGCAAATCCTGGAAGGCAGCATGATTCTTTTGTTTCTTATGACCACCTAATGGGATTTCGTTGTCTAGTTTGGAAATAAACGATCACCAGCCAAAACTTCCAAGAGGAAACAATGGTAATTTTATTCTTCACTTTGCAATGCTGGTAGACCACACACGTAGGTACAGTGGATACACCATAAATTGTCAATACATTTGCCTTATATTCTGTAGTACCATTACAAATTTACCTCTCACCTCTTCATTGGCACGGCAATAATGATATCATAACCTATGTATAGTGTCTAAAATGGATATATTACCTTCGCCCCTGATTACATCTCCCACTACTCTAATTCTATCTCCCCCTGCCCTTATTTACGAACTTCCTTTTTATGGTCCTAGTTCCTAAAGGTTGTCATATCAGTAAGTTCTGGTTATGGCTGGTTTCTAGCATAAGAAAGGCCTCTAGTTCCTAGGTACAATTCTCAGGCTTCAGTCTAGCTCACGAGATTAGAAACGTATACAATGTAGTTTCTTCACAGGCCAACCTGTCTTCTTAAAATTCTGTAAAAACAATACAACTCTGTTTCCCATATTCTGGAATTTCAAAGAGGCGAGTGGGACACCGTTTTATGAGACATCCTCAGAGGCTCACCCAGGACTTTCCTTCCTGTACATTTTTTATTTTGGGTTACCGAGGCCGAGGAAACTATTTTACATTATGGCAGTTCGTGGTATCAGGCAGTTTTCAGATAGCTTAGGAAAACAAGATTAAACATATTTTATACTTGATTCCCGAACTGCATATATTACAAAACTGGGGGGGGGGGGGATTTTCAAGGAAAACATTTAAGAGAGAACCTGAATTATTTTTTTTAGAGGAGTCAGTTATTCTTGTGCCGCCAACATAACGCCACATCTTCGGAACTGCACGAAAAAACACGCCTTCAGCTTCCTGTAATTCCACAAAATCCGCAATGTTCGTTTACTGTCAAACCAATTATATGAAGGAATCCAGTATTATCCCGCGTTGTTTTGTTTTGAATATTCAAGTAGAGACCGGCGACAGAGTCATGAGTCCTCCAGGCCACAGGCGGCGCATGGACAGATCTCGCCTCCTCCAGCCCCTTTCCACAGCTCAAAACAGATTCGCTCAAACATTCGGTTTTCGATTCTCGGTCCTAGACCGAGCAGAGGTTATGATTAACTCACAGTCTCACTTCCGCACTTCGGAGGAAGAGGAAAAAGGAAAGCAAAGCGAACAACTTCCAAAGAAGACGCTTCGGGAAGAAAAAAAAAAGAGAGGAGTGACTGAACGTAAAGTGCGCATGCCCAATCAGCCTTCGCACTAACTGCGCATGCGTTGGCGGTTATACTCATCAGGACAAGGGAAGAATCCCGAGAGTTCAAAGCTGCAGGCGAGACCCTGCCCCTTCTTCTCCAGAGTAACCGTCATTTTCCTCTCGTGGACGGTTTCCCCTCGGACCTTTTTCAGTCTCGGACCTGTCAAGACGAGAGATAGGATGCTCGGTGGTGTCTTGATCCAGGCCGGTCCCTGCGCTGAGTGAGACAAGGCCAGGCCGGTCGGCGGGTGACCGGGAAAGGGATGTCGCCACCGTACCCCGACGTTGGGTTTTGCCGCTGCCGCCTTTGGCGGCTCCCGCTGCCTCTGCCCTCCTCCGGTGGTTCTGGTGGCTGCCCGCGACCTTCACTCCAAGCCCGGGAGCAACGTCGGGCTCGGGCTCGGCACTGATTCCCGTCGTTTTCCCCCACCCCACCCCTTAGGGGGCGGGACGGGGTAGGCAAGATGCAAGCGGCTCCGCTGCAGTACGAGTTCTTCAGTGAAGAAAATGCACCCAAGTGGCGGAGTCTGCTTGTGGCCGCCCTCAAAAAGGTGAGAGAGTCTTTATCTTTCCAGCGCACGTTGGATTTACAAATACCTCGAGATTTACAAGGCTTGCAGATGAGACTGTGAAGGTTAGATAATGTGTGCAGATTAGAGATAGGTTAGATCAGAGATTTTCAAACTGGCAACTTTAAGACTGGTGGACTTCAAGTCCCAGAATTCTCCAGCCAGCTACACTATGCTGGCTGGAAAATTCTGGGACTTGAAGTCCATCAGTCTTAAAGTTGCCAAGTTTGGGGACCCCTGGCTTAGATAGATAACGCATGAAGATTAGATATACAGTTATATAGTTAGCGCCTGGGGTTGATGACTGTTGGCAATTAAGTTGAGGTATTTTGTAACTTACCGTGGGAGAGCCTATATCTATTCCCTAATTACTATGCTTGGATATACACCAGGGAATTGTGATAATCGAATGTCAGTGGTTTTTTTGGTACCTGCATAATTTGCCTTGGGTAAAAAATCAGCACGCACGTTCTGCAAAATGTATGCTAGACTGCAGTAGAAATCCATGCACTGGGTTGAAAATAGCCGCCAGCAGTTGCTGGCCATAAAATATATTAGTCTCTTGTATCTGTTTAGAGACAAATAGTGGAAAGGGAGAGAAAAAAATGAAGGAACTAAAAGAACATGGAAACAGACAACAAGAAGACAATATTTTTCTCCAAAAAAATCAGATTGATCATAACATGTGCAAATACTTCATATTAGAGGAGAGAGTATTGGGAAAGTTAAATAGCCTTGAGATATTAAAAGAAAGACTACTTCAATTGTTTATTAGACACTGGTGTTCTGCTTTGCTTTTCCTAGAGCCATTCCTATGTAGTCTCTTATTTTAATTTGAATGGACATGAATCAAGGATTTTGCTGAAAATAAATTATTCAGGATTAAGTGCTTGGATAGGAGACCACCTGGAAATCTTATTTAGTGTTTTGGATGCTATGATGAAAGGCATTATATAAATTTACCAAATGGATAATGCTGTACAGTGAATATATGAGTATTTCTATTTCTATTTATTAAATTTATAGGCCGCCCAATCCCGAAGCACTCCGGGTGGCTTACAGAAATAACATTTTAAGAAAAAAGTTAAAAAACAAACAGAAGAAAGCAGATTAAAAGAACCACATCATGCACCCAGTCTAAGCGGGGCTGGACCTCAGTCAAGAGGTCAACAGCCCCAGGCCTGCCGGAATAGCCAGGTTTTGATAGCTTTTCGGAAGGCCATGAGAGTGGGTAGGGTCCGGATCTCTGGGGGTAGCTCTATCACTTTTTCTTTCTTTCTTTCTTTCTTTCTTTCTTTCTTTCTTTCTTTCTTTCTTTCTTTCTTTCTTTCTTTCTTTCTTTCTTT